GTTGTTGTTGTTGTTGTTGTTGCTGTTGTTGTTGTTCAGCTTGTTGCTGTTGTTGTGCTGTTGTTGTTGTAGTTGTTGTTGTTGTTGTTGTTCAGCTTGTTGCTCTCAGCTTGTTGTTGTTGTTGGTGGTGGTAGAGGTGGTGTTGTTGATGTTGTTGTTGTTGTTGTTGTTGTTGTTGTTGTTAGTTGTTGTTGTTGTTATTGTTGTTGTTGTTCAGCTTGTTGCCCTCAGCTTGTTGTTGTTGTTGTTGTTGTTGTTGTTGGTGGTGGTGGTAGAGGTGGTGTTGTTACTGTTGTTGTTGTTGTTGTTGTTGTTGTTGTTGTTGTTGTTGTTGTTCAGCTTGTTGTTGTTGGTGGTGGTGGTGGTGGTGGAAGTGGTGTACAAATAAGCTCACTGTGTCCCTGGGCTTCTCTTTACTCAAACAAACAGTGAAACATACAAACAAACAAGCGACCAAACAAGCAAACAAACAAACAAACAAATGTTTTTCTTTCTCTCCGTCTACCCCGGTGGAGGCGGGGGCTATGTGGTGAGCAAGGAAGCTCACTGTGTGGATGTGCTTCTCTGTACTCAATCAAACAAATAAACGACCAACCACACAACCGACCAAACAAACAAACAAACAAAGCTTTTCTTCCTCTCTGTCTGCCCCCAGTAGAGGCAGGGGTGGGGGCTGTGTGGTGAGCAAGGAAGCTCACTGTGTGGTTGTGCTTCTCTTTACTCAAATAGTCAAACACACGTACAAACAAACAACCGAACAAAAAAAACAACTAACAAACCAATAAAGTTTTTCTTTCTCTCCCTCTGCCCACTGGAGGCGGGGGCTATGTGGTGAGCAAGGAAGCTCCCTGTGTGGATGTGCTTCTCTGTACTCAAACAGTCAAACACACGTACAAACAAACAGCCAAGCAAACAAACAAACAAATAAAGCTTTTCTTTCTCTCCCTCTGCCCAGTGGAGGCGGGGGCTATGTGGTGAGCAAGGAAGCTCTGCGTCGGTTCGGCAGAGAGGCCATCAACTCCACCGTGTGTCCGGAGGACGGGAAGGACGAGGACGTGGACTGGGGGCTGTGCATGGAGAGGCTGCAAGTGAAGACCTCTCCGTCCGTCGACAAGGAAGGGAGGACACTCTTCCACCCTCTCGCCCCAACGTTACATTTCCTCGGGAAGCAGGGGAGCTGGCTTCAAAGATTCTCAGCCATTTTGGCAACGGTATGTACTAATACTTTACTTTTTCATGCTCTGTTGCCGTTAAGCGTCGAGGGGAGATGCAGTTTTGTATGTTAGGCCAGCTCCGCTGCTCTTTCAGTACTAATAAAACGTAAAAAGTTGTTCCCGCATCCGATCTGGACATTGCGGTTTGCCTTGTTAGTGAGAAAACTTCCTGGGCCTTCGGCTTATTGTGGTAGGGTGGCCAGTTCCTTTCCGCGCCGCCTTTATTTCCCCAACTTGAAGTCAGGTACCCATTACGGCTTGGTGGGCAGGAGGGGGCGAAAAAAAACCTGTGTCCGAACCAAGGCTCAAACCCGGACGTTCCGCTTCGGAGATGAGCGCACAAACTGCTCCACCGCCATACTAATAGCTGTGGGATTTGGATTTTGTTTCTTTTAGAAAATTTTGTTTTCATTGTTCACCTGTCACCTCACTATCTTCAGTTACAAACAAAGTTCCACCTGCCCAGCATCTAGTTCTGAGAAATTTGACGTAAAACGTTTTGAGTTTCACACATGTCAAGCTTTTTTTTGGATGCAGTTCTTTAATGTCTTTATAAAGCCTCTGAAAAAAGACCAGGCGAGACAAAATTAGAAACTCTGTAATCCGAGAAATGGTGGCCATAAATGATGTCATGCATCACATCCAAAACCAAAGAATCAAATGGTTCGGACATCTCCTACGATTACCAACCCACCATTCAGCACAATGTGCCGACATCCGAAAATTCGATGGCAACAAGGCTAGAGGGCGATCGAGAAAGACCTGGATAGATGGAGTCAGGGAAACATTAACCACCCACGGCATCCCCCTGACCCAAGCTCTCCAGCTGGCGACAGAGAGACGTCTCTTTCTTCCCGCGACACCCAAAAGGGTATAAGCGGTGGATAGACGTAAAGTAAAAGTATAAAGCCTCTGAATAATCTTACGTTTTTTGATAGAGCATTTAGAACAATTGGCTTCTAAACTCTTGGGGGCTCCAGTGGCTAAGTAAGTAGTGAGTTTTGACTCAAGCAATGTCAAGCAAGTGTCGGTGACACGGGGATCAGATGGGTGGTCACTGGAGTTTGTCCTTGAGCAAGACACGACAACCCTAGCTCAAATTTCAGGGCGCTGCACAGTGGCGACCGACAGTGGCATTGTTTGTAAACTGTTCTGTATTTGTGTAATAGTGTGTATTTATGTATGTAGGCTATTTATGCATGTATGTATTTATGTATGTACGTATCTATAATTATGTATTTATGTATGTATGTTTGCCATTGTAAAACAAAGTGCCCTTCTGGGACAAATAAAAGTGTAATTTTTTATTTATTTTATTACTCAAAAAGGCCAAAAATGTCAGATAAAACTTTGTAATTCTAAGGTAGCGACCTGTCACAATGGCTGTGTGTATCCACTCCGTGCGACCAAAGGTCTCCATCTTTTTCCTTCTCTGCTTTCATACCGCACAAAGTTGTAGGCCACGGTTAGATCTTTTTTTTTATATCCACAATGTTGGAGGTCTTAATGATAATAGATGATAATAGCACTTGTGTAACACATCTGGACAGCAAATTACAGTTTAACAGAGATAGCTCGACTTCGTCGAGAACTTCCTCGGTAGTTCGAGGTGTCGGTAGTTTGAGGGATATCTTACAAAGATAGAAAAGAGAAGAAAAAAAGAGGGACTCTGCAAACATTGTTGGATGGATGTGTAATTTTGTGTCTTCTGTATTTGACCTATTCATGTTTTACATGTATCGTAAATGGACTGATTCGTCGATACCATGCTCATAACTGTGTCTGAACAGTAACAGGGAGCTGTGATTTTTCTTTCCTAATCCTTACTATCCTCATTTGCCTCTACTTCTTTTGTATGTTTGTCACTCTCTTGTGACTCGTTATTTCCGGGGTGCCTTGATAGTCGAAGCAGACTTTGTGCTGCTGAAGCTAGAGAGGTGAGCAGAGTAGGCCTGATTCCTTGTAAGGCAATTCTCTGTTGACATCCACCCCTTGGAACTCGTATGACTTTATTCAATTGCAAGCACTGCAAAACCTCTATGTGTACTGAATTTGTGCTTTACCCAATAATGTTGCCACAGCATACCCTAAAACACTTGGAAACATTCTCTGATTTCCCGTTTTTTCTCTTGGCCTCCATTTTGTCCTGTAGCGCAGTTGTTATAAGGTCTGTTTTTAGTTTTCTATATGCATGACCAGGTCCAAGGTACCGTACTTGAATCCCTTTTAACAGATCTTACAAAACACAACACACTGTGTATCAAGTTCTTTTAGGACACTTAAATTTGCTCTTTTATCGTCTACTTTGACGAAAAGTATCCTTCTATAAAAATGCACTTCAGTTGCTGGGATTCTAGATTTGTGAGGCAGCGTGGTGAAATCATGCTTTCGTCAAAATAATCAAAGTGAAGAAACTTGCATGTTTCCGCAGGTTTGTGAATTTTTTAAAAATTGTTGTTTTTTGGCTCAACACCTTTCATGAGCATTAAAGAACTCATTTCTATGAGGATTTTTCTGAAAAACGTTGATTAAAGGCAGAAAAAATGTACATTTTCAGTTACCTCGGACTCTTAAGCTAGTGAAATAACTAATCTTTGGCGGCCATTTTCTCATTAATTTTACCTCTGAAAACAGATGACCCCCACCTCCTCTTTCGCAAATATCTCCACTTGTATTCAAGATAAATGGATATTTTTTTCCTCCAAATAAAGACAAGTGAACAAGTTTAAAGATGATACCAATAACTCTACATGCCCAAAAATTGACGAGAGCCTGATTCCACCACGCTGCCTCACATTTCATCTTTCTTTTATATTGGTCTCCACCCCCATTCCCTTCCATATATCCGTTCAAACCTACTGTCCATATCTGACTTTTCAAGTTTCTAATCTGTTGTAAAACACTTCTGATTTCAACAAATTTTGTGATGTGTGGGTGGTTGGCGGGTGCTCTGGTGTGGTTTGCTCCTTCTTTCCTATTGAACAACTATCGTCTTTATCTCTCCTGCTTTTTTATGTTTGTTACTCTCTTGTAACACCTCTAATCTTCGGCACTTATATATGACATTATTGTGTTGCAAATACCGTAAAACTCTGACTAAAACAAACAATCTAATCTTTGGCACTTATACGACCTTATTGTGTTGCAAGTGCCATAAAACTCTTACTAAAACAAACAATCTAATCTTTGGCACTTATACGACCTTATTGTGTTGCAAGTGCCATAAAACTCTTACTAAAACAAACAATCTAATCTTTGGCACTTATACGACCTTATTGTGTTGCAAGTGCCATAAAACTCTTACTAAAACAAACAATCTAATCTTCAGCACTTATATGACCTTATCATGTTCCTAGTGCCGTAAAACTCTTACTAAAACAAACAATCTAATCTTCGGCACTAAAACAACCTTATTGTGTTGCAAGTGCCGTAAAACTCTTCCGAAAACTGAAACTAACCGGTGATGTTTTGGGTGTGTCCACAGGGGTATGGAGTGAGTCCAGAGGCAATCTCTTTCCACTATGTGTCCCCGGAGCAGATGCGAGTCCTGACCTTCTACCTGTACCACTGGCGACCCTACGGACTTCTGGAGGAGCATGATGATGTGGACGCCCAGCAAGGGAACACTTCCTAAATCTGTTTTTGACCAATTCATGTGGCTTTGGTGTAGGATGGTATTATATGTGTACACAGTCCCGTATCTGAATGATAAGGACAGTATCGTATGTGTACGCACTATTGTATATATGTACAGTACAATGTACGTGCACAGAAGGTTATATGACATTTTATTCAAATGAGGACAGTATCATATGTGTACATAATAGCGTTTGTATGTACGACATAATACAGTACTGTATGTGTACACAATTACGTTTTTATGTACAAGATAGGACAGTGTTGTATGTGTACACAATACGTGGAGCTGCATGGTGGAATGAGGCCCTTGTCAATTTTTGGGCATGTGGAGTTATTGGTATAATCTTAAAGCTTGTTCATTTGTCTTGCTTTGGATGAAAAAATATCCATTTATCTTGAATACAAGACGAGATATTTGCGAATAAAGGAGGTGGGGTCACCTGGTTTCAGAGATAAAATTAGTGAGAATATGGCCGCCAAGGATTAGTTATTTCCTGGATACTGAAAATTTACATTTTTTGTGCCTTTACCACTGACAGTACCAAAGACTCATATTATATAGTGAAAAAAACTCAAGCACCGCACCAGGTTAGAAAGCTGAAGCCATGTTAGAATGTTTTTTTATTTTAAAAAAGCCTTGGCAGCCTAAGAAATACGCTGTAAAAATTCAGAGAGGTTCATCAACCATTCAACTATCATATAGAGTTATTTTCTTTGGTATTTACTTAAATGCAGTGTGTCCAGTAGCCGTTTTATTATGTTTAGTGTGCCTGGTTTCATCAGCGACTAAAGTTGCCAGGGGTAGTGAGTGTATACTACGGCCTGGCGACTAAAGTCACCGAAGGTACTGTGAGTGTTAATCAACATTTTTCTGTAATATCCACACTGAAATGGTTTTCGTTTTTGTAGAGGTTTTACTTCGCTGGAAACTGCATATGTGTTCTTTTATGGACATGAAAGATAAAAATTCTCAAACCTGCAGAAAAATGCCTGTTTCTTCACTTTGATTATTTTGACGAGTACCTGATTTTTCCGCGTTCCTCAAAGAACATGTGTATACAATATGATAGTATATATATGTGAGGCAGCGTGGGGAAATCAGGCGCTCATCAAAATAACCAAATCGGAGAAACAGGCATTTTTCCGCCACTTTGGACATTTTGATTTGATTTTTAATTTGTGGCTTGACCTCTTTGCTGTCCATATAATAACACATTTCCATGTGAATTTTACTGAAAAACATTGATTAAAGGCACAAAATATGTCATTTTTCAGTTTTCAAAGACTCTCTAACTATTGGAGTTACCAAACTTTAGCGGTCATTTCCTTGCTGATTTCGCCACTGAAACCAGGTGACCTCACTTCCTTCACTCGCATATATTTTGAATTCTATCCTAGATAAATGGATATTTATTTCATTAGAAGCAAGCAAGGCAAATAAATCAGCTTTCAGATGATATTCAGATGACACCAATAACTCCATATGCCCCCAAATTGACGCGCGCCTGATTCTACCGCGTCGTGACACATATGTGCACAAGTATTGATTCTCGGACAACATTATTCCAGTCAGCTCACTCAGGCTCTGTGCTGCTCAGACATGATGTTTTTACCGCTGGAAGAGACCACTCCTCCTCGGGGAGGAGCCGACTTAACCACAAGCCTGCTGTGATACTTGGCCTGATTGGACACGGTTCTGTCACGTGTCAACAACGGTCATGTTGCCGTCTAGTTGTGTGGGTCTGGGTCATTCCAGCCTGGGGTAGCACCTGTTTTGCTACTCACTGCATGCTCTTTTTGTTGGCACCGCGACCTGCAATGATTACTCATTCGCTACGCAATTTTTGTCTCATTCGGACGTTGTTTAAAAAAAAAAAAAAAATATATATATATATATATATATATATATAT